GTAATGCAGCACACTGCCAGCCTGACTATCTGGGTCTGAGAATGACTTCAGAACTCTTGTCCCTAAAACAAGAGGAGATTAACAACTTTTAGAGACATTCAACCTTGTCTGAGGGAAGAATCTGACAAGAGCAGAGAAATACAGCATGTAAAGAATCCTCTCTGAACTAATCAGTACAGAACTATTAAAGGGGATAATCCAAGAAACTACAGGCTCTGCTCTCGTTGTTTAAGGAATTTGGGAACGAGGAATAATAGGAAATAAATAATAAGAGAAAAATATTATGTCAATGTTAGATACCGCTTCATAGGGCTCTGGCAGATGTTAATTGCATGATAAATGTAACGTTATTCACAGGATAAAAATCTACATGCTTCACATGCAAGACATTTAAGATATGATAAATTGCCAAGTGGAACATCCCCAATCCAAAACTTGCATGTTCTGCAAGATTAAATTCTGCATTAAACGTGGAACATCTCTGAGGCTGGGTTTCTCTGACTTTTAATTTTGAATGTGTGGCATGTAGGTATTCAGTTGCATATTCACCCTTTGCACATGCTGGTCTGAGGGATGTTCGCATGATCAAAGGGCAGAAGTACCGCCCTTCTGGGTGGCACAGACCCTTTTAAATATCTCAGATCTGGAAAAACAAGGATTGGAGAGCTGCCCCCTGATGTTGAGCTTCCAATGCCCTAGCACATTTACAAAAGTGAATGTGCCGCTGGGTCTTGGTGCATGCAGCAGGATCCCAGAGTTTAAAGTTTAAGGTCCTGAGGTGTCATATGCCTGAGATCAAGGAGCCTCTTCTTGATGTCAGGTTCGTGGTGTCCTGGGATCTTAAAAAAAGCAGCATGTCTGTTATGTCAGAAAATACAGTGTTTGGGATTGGGGATAAAATTCCTCTGATTTCAATCACGCTATTATATTAGTATCAGCCAGGGGCCATACAAATATTAAAATCCTAATTCTGTTTTGATCTTATGCCGTTACATAAAAAATTACTAGTTAAAAAAGAAACACTCGTACAGCAAGCATCATGCTGTCAGATTTGAAGAATATGCCATCAGGACACAATCTTTAATCTGACCTAGATCTATGCTAAACAATATGCAATACAAGGTTGGCATGTTCTCACTCAGCAAAATAAAAGGAACATGGGTTAGTACTGTATTTACTCAAATACAAGACAAGTTTTTCCCCCCTCTAATCAGCGTGCAGGGGGGAAGCCCTTCGTCTTCTATTTGCATACAAGGAAACCTTATTAAATACATTGTCTATCATTAAACTGCTGCAAAAAGTAGCATGTGCTCAGTAATGAGAACCAACTATGAAGATAATTAAATGCAGCCAACACTGAGCATGACTATAAAACACACAGCCCATATTGGGCAAACACACTTATGGGAAGTGTGTCTGTGTGCCTATGCCCCTTTAAAAAAAAAGAGGATGTTCCCTCCACAGGGAACTGGCACCAGGCTGGGATGTACTGCAATACTAGGCTGGCACTGGGAGGGCGAAAGCCAGCCTTAACACCCTCCCCTTGATGCCAAAAATGTAATTTATTAGAAGACTAGCCAATTGCCCAACAAGAAAAATGGGAGGTGTGTGTGTGTGTGTGTGTGTGTGGGGGGGATGGAGCCCCATGCCCCGCCCATTCGGGCCCGCTCCCCCCTCCCCTCCTGCTGCTTGGGGTCCATGTCTGCTACCCTCCTGCCCGCTGCAGTGGCAGTGGGACGGGAGGAGACCAGAGGGCCTGGGCCGACCGGTGGCGGTGGGAGGGACGGAAGGAGCAGGCTTGGGTCTGATGCAGGGGGTGGGGAGGAGTCTCCCCCTGCTCAGGCTTGCTCCTCTGCACCACATCAGGACCACACCCACTCCTTCCTTCCCCCCACTGCTGCCACCATGGTGCACCCACTTCTTCCC